AGCAGAGGAGGTTGTAGAGATCGCCCCTCCGAAAGGAGAGGAGCTGGGAACTCCAACCTCTTCTGAAGAGAGTGAATCCGAATCGGAAGATGACTCACTGGTAAGTCCAAACAAGGGCCCTATGACTATTCCAATGAGATTAAGGGTACCCACATCGAGAGCCAAAGGGGAAATGCTAGCCTTGGGTGCACAAGGTGCATAATCAGCTCGGAGGTAGTGGAGAAAATGGGCTTAAGGCTAAAGGCTTTAAAAACACCCATAGCCTTTTGCCAATTGGATGGATCGGTAGCTGGGGGCGGCCCTGCACATTTCATAACGGAACCAATAGAAATGATGATGGGGAAGCATAGAGAGACTTTGTGTTTTATTGTGGCTCCTGGGATGGAGCGGCCCCTAATACTGGGGATGCCCTGGCTCCAGAAATGGAACCCCACGTTGATTGGAGGAGAGGGTCATTGCACATACATACTGACCAGCGCCCAGAAGGGGAGGGGCAATCTCAACCGAAACTCAAGAATCCCACTGAACTGGCCTCCACTGGCACCGAGAACCTGAAGGGGGAGGAGAAAATTCCGGAGGAATATTGGGACTTAAAGGAAGTATTCAGTGAAAAGGCCTCGGATGAGCTTCCCCCCAATCGTTCAACAGATTGCAGTATTGAAATTTTACCCGGGGTGAAACTCCCAAAATCGAAACTGTACTCGATGACACCGCAGGAGCTAGAAGAGCTGCGGTCATTTATCAATAAGAATTTGGAACGTGGTTTCATCCAACCTGCTAGACCCCGGGTAGCAGCCCCAGTATTGTTCCGTGAAAAGAAAGATGGCTCCCTTCGTTTATGTGTTGACTACAGAAACCTGAATGCTATTTCAGTGGAGAACGTGTACCCCCTCCCCTTGGTGAAGGACATGTTGGCCCACTTGGCCAAAGGGAAAATTTTTATATTTTTATGTTCTTATCTACATGGAGACTTGTGATGAACATGTGAAACTAGTGCGGTCAGTTCTGGAAAAACTTTGAGCTGCTGAGCTGTATGCAAAGTTGTCCAAGTGTGAATTCCACCAGGAAAAAATTGACTATTTAGGTTATCGCATCTCACATGATGGCATAGAAATGGATCTGGGGAAGGTTCGTGCCATTTTGGAATGGGCCCCTCTCTGCACCAGGGAACAACTTCAAAGTTTCTTGGGATTTGCTAATTTTTACCGTCAATTTATCCCTGCTTTTGCGAAGATTGCAATGCCTATCACAAATCTCCTAAAAAACAAAGGGGAGGTGAAACCGAAGCCTAGTAAACCCCTGGAGTGGTCCATGGAATGTCAAGCCGCTTTTGAGAAGCTGAAACGACTGTTTGCTGCTGAACCAGTACTCAAGCACCCGTACATGGACGCTCCTTTTGTAATCCAAGCCGATGTGAGTGACGTAGCAGTCGGGGCGGTGTTACTACAAGCAAACGAGACGGGGACTCTGCAACCGTGTGCATATACTTCCCGTAAACTAACTGAAACCGAAAGAAGATGGGCCATCTGGGAAAAAGAAGCTTTTGCAGTTCGCTGGGCTCTGTTAACCTGGAGGCATTTCTTGGAAGAGGCAAAACACCCATTTGAGGTGTGGACGGATCATAAAAATTTGGAGGCTTTGAAAACGCCTCGGAAGCTGTCTCCCAAGCAAGTTCGCTGGGCGCAGTACTTTAAGCGCTTTAATTTTTCATTGAAGTACATTCCAGGGGGGAAGAACTTCATGGCGGATGCTTTATCTAGATTACCTCAATATAATAGTGCTCGCCAAGAAGTGGTACAGCCGATTGTCCCAACCAAACAGTTGGCAGCTCCAGTGGTTACCAGAGCACAGAAAAAGAAGGAGGTTGATTTATCAAATGATTTGACTGCACAATTAAGAGATGCTCTAAAACTTGATGATTGATTTCTTGCTCACTCAAATAACTGTATGGTTAGAGATGGATTGGCATGGGTGGGGGCCAAGTTATATGTGCCAGCGAAGCTGAGAAACCAAATATAACAGCAAGCTCATGACTCTAAGGCCGTTGGTCATTTTGGATTCGTGAAAACCTTTAACTTGGTTAAAAGGCAATTTTGGTGGCCTACCTTGAAAAAAGACATTGAGACTTATGTAGCTAGTTGTCCTAACTGTGCCTCAGCCAAACGGCCACCTGGTAAACCAGCAGTCTTACTACAAAATGTGGCTAGACCAACGGCTCCATGGAAGGAAATCTCTATGGATTTTAAGGTGGAATTACCTGAAAGTGGGGGGGGGGATACAGTTATTTGGGTAGTAACTGATTTGTTTTCCAAACAGGTATATTTCATACCTTGTCCGAAAATCCCATCTACAAAAACGTTGGCTAAACTGTTTATTTTACATATCTACAGGTTACATAGGGTTCCTGAACGCATAATCTCAGACAGGGGTGTCCAGTTTACCTCAAACGTTTGGAAGGAGTTCCTGAAGTTATTGGGCTCCACCCAGGGCTTAAGCTCTGCCCACCACCCACAAACCAATGGGGCTTGTGAGAGGACTAACTCGGTATTGGAACAATATCTTCGATGTTATATAAATTATCAGCGAGATAATTGGGCTGACCTATTGCCATTCGCTGAGGTGGCATATAATAATTTGGTACATAGTAGTACTGGGTTTACTCCATTTAAAGTGGCTTCGGGACAAGACTTTGTACCCATACCTGAGCTTCCATGGGAGAAACCTAACATTCAGCCATCAGATGAATGGATAACACAGCTCCAGCTTACCTGGCCGGTTACCCATAAAGCATTAGATGATGCTCATCAAGCTCATAAAAAATGTGCAGATAAAAAGAGAACTCCACAAAAACCATATCAAGTGGGTGACAAGGTCTTTTTATCCACCAGATATTTACAGACCACACAAAAGTCAAAAAAGTTTGGACCTAAGTATGTTGGACCTTTCTCAATTGAACAAATTGTGAACCCTGTGGCAGTTCAACTGAAATTACCAAAAGCTCTTCAACGGATCCATCCTGTTTTCCACGTTAGTTTATTAAAACCTGAACATACCTCCGGCTTGAGACCAACTCAGGTTGATCCCCCTGTACCATTGCTAATTGAAGGTGAACAACATTTTGAAGTTAAAGAAATTTTGGATTCTCAAAAACGAAGTGGTCGACTCCAGTATTTGGTTGCTTGGAAACATTTTCCTCCTTCCCAGGCTGAGTAGGTGAATGAGAAGGATGTTAGAGCTCCTACACTTATCAAGGCATTTTGTACTAAATATCCTGATAAACCCTAAAAAAATTAGTATGTTGCTGTTACATATATATTTTCTATTACCTTCTATTTTTATCTTTTTTAGGACTAACGTCTCTTTTCTAGGAAGGCCGAATGTCAGCCTTCAAGATTTTCTCCCTTTGCTTTGCATCTTTCGGCTGTCATAAGTAACGGGGGGAGGAGGGGGGAATGGTTATGGGAAGTGAGCTGGAGGTGTTACAAACCAGAACTGTATAAACTGGGGGGGATACATTCTTGCTTAGGTTTCTATCCTATGCTATGCGCAGCTGCAACCCTTTATCAAACTATGTCAAGGTCAACGGACAGAAGCCTCATCACCACCTGGAGATGCCCACATGATGATATACACAACTTTTAATTGGATGAGCCAATTGAACTATTGGGGGTGGGAACGTTGCCATTACTTTGTATATGTGATTTACGCACCCATTTTCTTAGATTCAGAATTCTTTTGTTGCTACCACTTGATTTCCAGTAAAAGATATCTTTTCTCTGATTAAAGGAGTCTAAGTATTTCTTTCTTGGATTTTGAATGGAGCACCAGCTGACAGATGGGCATTTGACTTGTAACTAAATGTGTCATAACTCACAATCGCTGAAGGAAAATTTCTTATGATCAAAATAGAGGGATGCTAAATTTTGGCTAGGTTATATGCTATGCATTTATGTGTCCCTTGTACTACTTGTGTATTAAGGCTATTAAGAAAATCAAAATAAAGATATTGGGGCTTTTTTTAAATATCAATCTGTTCCTTATAGAAAGGTTTATCTGCCTCAAGTTGGGAAGAAAAAAATGTGCTGAAATATCCATCCACACCCATTCACATGTTTCTGCCCCCCTCCAAAAATGGGGAGAATGCTTTTAAAGAGGCATGGATATTGCCTGTTCTGAAATTTCTATCACCATTTTAGCTTGGAGAGATGTAAACTTTGTATTTCCAAATAACACAAATAATTTTGGGTAGTATTAATTTACTAGAAATGCAATCGTAACACCAAGTAAAAAACTATTTAAAATTTGACACTGGACCAGTCTTTTTTATTCTCAGCATTTATAATATCACACAATCTTTACATGAATACTGCTCCACGGATTGAAACAAACTTAACTTTTAAGGATTTAAAATATTTTTTCTGCCCTACCATTCAAACACTTCACTATGGCACCCACTGGTGGTCAGTAAAGAAATCTACTAGCATTTAATTTTTAGATGATATTATTACAGGTAGCCTTTGGATTACAACCACAATTGAGCACAAAATTTGTGTTGTTACGTGAGTTTTGCCCTATTCTGCAATCTTTCTTCCCACAGTTGTTAAGTGAATCACTGCAGTTGTTAAGTTAATAACCCAGCTGTTAAGTGAATCTGGCTTCCCCATTGACTTTGCTTGTGAGAAGGTGATCGCGTGATCCTGAGACACTGCAACTGTCATAAATGTAAGTCAGTTGCCAAGTGTTTGAATTTTGATCATGTGACCATGGGGATGATCCAATGGTTATAAGGGTGAAAACTCATTATGTCACTTTTTTTCAGTGCCATTGTAATTTCATATGGTCACCAAAGGAACCATTGCAAGTTGAGGGTTTCTTGTACTGTTATTGAGTTTCTGCATCTGAAAATCATGATCAATTTATACTATAATAGTCATATAGCTTTGTTTCTGTTCTCTTCTATTTTGTATTCCATTTTACAAATTTCTTTAAATGTTTTACAGGAACTTGGTTAAAAAGCAACCTAGGCACTATTGAACAAGAAGGAAATGGATTGACCTGGACTTATATTGCCTCCCAGTTGGGATATTGGGTTGCAGCCATGTCACCCACAAATCCAGGTAAGACTGATTTTTTTATTTGCCCCAGAATAAATTGTGTGTGTGTGACAGAGAGAGAGAGTGCGAGTGTGTGTTTGTGTCTTCTAGCTCCTCAAAAGAGTATGCAGGGGCCTTTAGACCAGTGGTTACCAACCAGTGGGCTGTGGCTGTGGCCCACTGGTGGTCCGCGAGAAAATTTTGGTGGTCCGCAGAGAAATGTCACCCCCAGAGCACCCCCCACAGCTAATCCAGGCTACATGGGAACACAAAGGCTTTGCTGCCCACATGGCCTGCAGGAACCCTCCCCACCCACTCCTTACCTGGCAAACTTGCCTGCTAAGTTGCTAATTTTCCTTTTTTTCCCTTGACCATCATCTGTTCTGCTGTGCCAGGAGATTTAGATTAGCTAGAAAGCAGGAAATCGTTGGATTTCTTGCTTTCTAGCTAATCTTTAGATCTTCGGCTCTGCTTTTAAGCAGAGCCGAACCTCCCTTAGGACTGAAGGTTCTATTATTTAGTTGCAGACTCAGATAACCGATGGCAGAAACACAGATCTCTAAGTGAATCTGTGATTCTGTGAGCAGCTCAATCTGCCTGCCTGCTTTGCCTGATTTTGGGTAAAAATTGCTCTTTTTTAAATAAAAAATTCAATATTTACATACATGGTGCGTGGTGAGTTAATTTTGTGTGTTTGCTTGCTAGCAAATTTTATGTGACAGACTCAGATAGCCGATGGCAGAAACACAGATTTCTACATGAATCTGTGATTCTGTGAGCAACTCAATTTGCCTCCCTGCTTTGCCTGATTTGGGTAAAAGTTGCTCTTTTTTAATAAAAAAAATCAATATTTACATAAATATTTATAATATTTACAAACAAGCCATGCCCAGTCAGTCACATGACCACACCCACAAATTAGGCCACACCCAAGTACCAGTTGTTAAGACATTTGAATCCCACCCCTGCCTCTCTCTCTCTCTCTCTCTCTCTCTGTGTGTGTGTGTGTGTGTGTGAGATTGGGAGAGGGTTAGATCAGATCTCTCTCTCTCTCTCTCCCACCAACGTCAGCAAGCTACGCTCAGTCAAAATTCATATTAGTGATTCCCCAGGATTTAAAATGATGAGTTTGATGGTCCCTGAGGTCCAAAAGGTTGGCGACCCCTGCTTTATACTATTAGTATCATACTGGATATAAGGGAATTGCTTAAATTGGAAAAAGGGAATCCTAAGCCATGTTTGTAAGAGCGCTATTATTGGCAGTTTCTTTCTCCTTTTGCAACCCTGCAAGACATAGCCAGCTATGCCAGAAAATACTTTTTGCTAGAGCTTTTCAAGACACTGAAGGGTGGTGAAAATGGAAGGATCCATTTTAAAACTTGATACTAGTTCACAGTAAGTTTTATATTATGCACTACTATGTTTAAATAATGTATGCATTTCAGAATAACATTTTATTGACATATCTAGGAATTCTGAAAACAGACTTTAAAGTTTGTTAAGGTTTACCAAGTACTTCAATAGATATTTTTTTTACAAAAAAAAGAGTTTTAGCCTTAAAGAGGCTAAATACACTGCAGCCGTTTAGGTCACTAATGGTTGCATTTTGGATGTTTGTAAACTGGAACAATTTCCAAACAGTTGTAGGATAATCCTCAGATTAGATCATTGTTACAATATGTAGCATGTAGTGATTTCAGAAAATCATAACACAGGCAGGATTTATACCCTTTCTGCCATAAATGGAATGATTTCCCCCTTAACTGAAGAATTGCCACATAAGTACAACACAGAATAGTTATGAGCTCTGATATATGATCAGCTGTAGTCTTGATTTACACATAGACTGAATACGCTAGGAATAGAGTAATATTTGTAGTGGGAAATGGATTTTTCCCAGGTCAGACCTCCAATGATGAACCCAGATTAGTTTTAATGACTCTATTCAAGTAAAAAATAAATAAATCCTAGCTAGAACTTGACTCAAACAAAATAACCTATCATTTCCTTGATGTGCTAATTAGATAGAATCTCTTGCTTGCACACACAGAGGACACTGCTATTTTCCCAGCCCATGCACAATTGCACAGGCTGGAAAAGTGGTTCCCATTTCACGACCTGATGTGGCTGTTTATATAGAAAAAACTGTCAATTCAATTTCCTGAAAACTTTGCAGTTTCTGACAGTTAGAGCCTGAGGGAATTTACCAGCCGTGCTAAGTGAGATTCCAGATAAACAGTCCACACAGGAGGGTTACCAAGCCCATTGGCTGACTGTTGCCCCATTGCATCATTCATTTTGTAGGCACTTCATCTCCAAATAGATGCTGTTGCTCCAGGCTGCAATCCAGATAATAGCACTGGCCCATTGTTTTGGTTGGTTCCACTAACCAAAGAACATATATCACTGCACTTTATTTGTTCACAGTATTCTTAACACAGGCCTGTTCTGGGATTTCTGAGTAATTCAAATCGGTGGCATCCCTCAACTCTGGAGACCTGTGTAATCAGGGCTGATACCATCAGAGAACACTCCTAGAAGTGGATCAGGGCAACTCAGATTATACTCTGCTGCAAGGGGTTGTTGTCAAAGTGAGAGCTAGCCTGCGACTAAATATACTATAGGTTAGAAAGCTTTGACTTGCCTGTCCTCAGAATTTTAACTTTTTCCCCATCTTGTAGGTCTCATTGTAGCGAAGGACTTCACTACTTACCACACAGTGTTCCTTTTGGCAATTCTTGGAGGAATAGCTCTTATACTACTTGTTCTGCTGTGCCTCCTTTTATACTATTGCAGGTAAAATGTCTCATTTTTATATTTAATTATATTTGTAGAGTGGCCCAGCGAGGAACACTTTCATTTTTGTGTAAGTACACCATTTTAGAAAGCCTCCCATGGATTCATAATTTCCATAATAGAACCAGTATCTTTAGATACTACTACTAGTGCTACTTGGAGATTGTATATTAGCTGCCCACAAACTTGTGCCATCAAGATATGTTGAATTACTGGTTTAACACATTGCCATGGTACCAAATTGAGGAAAATTCTTTACATAGGCCTAAGTTTATCTTATCGTATTCGGTACTTTCAGAATTGATGTGGTCTCTAAGTACCCTTTGAGAAATGGATTAATATTACAAATGCATTTAAGCTTAGATAAATCTTTACATTAAGATTCCTCTGTAAACAGAAAACAACAAAAATAGGAGCGGGGTTGTAGCTCGTGTTAATTTTCTATTTGCTTGTGGAACAAGCCACATTATAGAGTAATCTAGAGTAAACATGGAGCTACCAATAATAGTTTATGAAACTGGCATTTTTAAAACTGAGGAAAATAAAATTTCTCTCATTCCAACGCAATGCATGTAATCTATAAGAAGAACTAAACCAAGAATAGTAACATTATTTCTTTCTTTCTTAAATATTTCCTTGAATAAAAGTAGCTTATTCTTGAAGAAGTGCTATTCAATACATTACCTGCTTAAAGTAATTTTAATAGAACAAATTATAAGGTTGTCTTTCTTCTATTATATCTGTTTCTACTGTATTGTTTTTTATTATAATATTTCTTTTTTCTTTTCATAATGAGTTTCAACATTTCTGTCTATAATTGAAATATCTAATGTAATACACCAAGGTTTTTGAAGGTAAACATCTCCCAAAAATAAGATGTTGATATGCTTGAAAAACAGTATTGAAAAAGCAAATAAACAGAACGGGTGTTAAAAAAAAAAGAATTTCCATTGAGGATCAAGCTGCAGAAAGTTCAGTTTGGACTGCAAGATAAAATCAGGAGATATTAATTTGCTTGAGCCTCTTGCAATAACTTTCTTTACCTCAGCACTTTCCACTTACAGTGGACCACAATTCCCATAACTTCTATCCACCCATCTTGAGCAGCCAGGTTTATGACAATTGGAAGAGAGCATAGGTGTTTGAATACCTAATTCACTAGACCATTCTTTTGCTACAAGTCCCTTTAAAATGATTTTTTTTTTCTATTCCTTTTTTTAACATTAGGAGAAAGTGTTTGAAGCCCCGTCAACATCATAAGAAACTACACTTATCCTCAACACTCAGTGGTGCTAAGAAGGATCAATCAACTTCCATGTCCCATCTCAATTTAGTATTTTCCCGACGTGAATCAGAATTTCCCGGTGGGCTCTCCATTACTGGCAACAGGCACCCAGAATCCTCTGGCCACAAGGAACTGATAGTGGCTGTTCATTTGGACAAAGGATGTTCGGGAGAAGTAGATATGCATACCCCTATGCTGCAACATACTTATAGCACTTCACAGGAATTTAGCTCCAGAGAGGAATCACTTTCCCATAAGGAAAATGACCATAGCCGCATGTCTCTAGAAAATATGGCTTCTAATGATAGTTTGAAAAAAGACTATCTTCAATCATTGGATTCTTTTTCTATAAATCCAAGAAAGTCTCTGGAAATGACAGAAGGATATGGTTCTCCTGATAAGGGGGACCATAGACACAGTTACAATGCAATGTTGTTAAGCCGGCCTTTATTTGAGAAGCAGGAGCAAACATCCATGAATCATATTTCTACAGGGAGTAAATATAATCTTCAGGAACAAGTATACCCTATCCCTTCAACCCCTGAAACGGAACTTCTAGATTGCAGGTCCTCTGAATGTATGATGTCTCGCTCCGTTGACCATCTTGAAAGACCCACTTCTTTTCCTCGACCAGGTCATCTGGTCTGTTGTAATTCTCTTGATCAGGTTAATGATAGTGTTTACAGAAAAGTATTGCCCACATTAGTTATTCCTGGTCATTATATGAAACTTCCAGGAGAACATCCTTATATTAGCCAGCCTCTCTCTACTGATCAACCGGTAGATATAGAAAGGCTCCAGGTTGAACTATCCAGCCCTCATTCACAGCTTTACCCTCATTCTCAGCAACAGATGCAGCCACAACAGCTAGCTGCTCAAGCAGTATCCCAGCAACATTTACAAGAAGTTGGTGCAGGTGACTGGAAACCACAGAGCGTTCCAATGTCTGAATCAGTATCCATTCCAGCATCCCTTAATGATGCTTCCCTGGCACAAATGAATAGTGAAGTGCAGCTTCTTACTGAGAAAGCTCTAATGGAGCTAGGTGGAGGAAAGCCTTTACCTCATCCTCGGGCATGGTTTGTTTCTTTGGATGGGCGTTCAAATGCTCATGTTAGACATTCCTACATCGATCTTCAAAGAGCTGGAAGGAATGGAAGCAATGATGTCAGCCTGGATTCTGGGGTTGACATGAATGAGCCAAAATCTGCCCGAAAGGGAAGGGCAGATCATTTACAACAAACCCACCAGCAAGCGCAGATTCATCCACAGAAAGAGCAGAAAATTCCAGAAAGTAGCACTTATACACAGCTTGTTTATTTGGATGAAGTGGACCAAAGTGGCAGTGAATGTGGAACTGCAGTTTGTAGTCCTGAAGATAATATTCCAAGATGTGTGTTGGAGGGAGGAAGCAGAAGAACAGGTGGCCAATTGCCCAGCCTGCAGGAAGAAACAATAAAAAGAACAGTAGAAAGTTCACCAGAGCCTTTAACAAGTCCAGAACATAAAATAACTGAACACAGTGAAGCTGACGACGATGATGATAATGATGATGATGATGATGATGACGACGACGACGACGATGATCAAGGGGAAGACAAAAAGAGTCCTTGGCAAAAGCGAGAGGAAAGACCACTCATGGCGTTCAACTTGAAGTAACCTCTGATAGATCTGATCTTTTCCCCCAGGAGAATATATAATTGCCAAATATTTTTGTTTGTTTATACTGACAGAAAAAAAAGATGAAGTAATCTTTATGGTGGGTTACAACTGAAAAGATTCACTCAAGATAATTTTTGTGCAAACTCACCTAATTATTTGCAAAGTCTGTATGAAACTATGACTGAATTCCATTTATTTGATACTGGCCATCAAGGACATTTGGATATTTACATGTGGTTTGGCAGATTATAACCTCAGATTTTCCTGAAAATGGATCTATGTGAAACTTTATTATTATTATTTCTTAATTCAAATGTATCATAATGATGCTACTGAAAGGGTATCTTTAAGTAGAGTTCAACACTTGACATCTACAGATATGCATTATTTCAAAGGAAGGCTATGCACTGCTGCTTTTTAATAATCTTGTTTTTGCTTTAACATGCTTATTTACAAGGTAGTTCCAAAATATTGTCTATCTTTAGTCTGCCTAGCCACCGAGTTTTTGACATGAAACTTGACAAGCTTTTCTTGGTATCTGAAGAGCCTTTTGTGAAACCAAACTGATTTTTTAAAGTCAGCTTTGATTCCTCCAGTCCCCATTCTAAGTGCCTTTTTTACAGGAACAATGAACAGTCTCTTCTTTTGCTAGCGACTTGAATAATCAGATTTTTTAACAGAAAAAAATTCTGAAACCGTATCTGTACTTTAATTTGCATGCTATCAAATGTCTCTGCTGAATGACTCTTTATTTCAAAACAGTGTATTCGCTAATTTTGGTGTGTACTGTGGATTCTGTTTAGCAAGGGTAGACTATAGGACATTTTTGAAAACCCCAAAGTAGCCAAAATAGTTTCACTGATTGTATATATGATGTATATAATTTCAAGTAACATGGATTTTGGACCAAGCAAGTGGATTGAATGTGTTCTAAAAATGTCAAGCAGAGTTGTTATAAACTATCCAAAAGTGCCAGATCGATTTCTGTGCTTTCTCTTTATAAAACTGCTTGGTTATCCAAAAATTATAATTCAAAAATAAAGTTTTTGAAAACTCGGGACTCTTTAAAATTCCTCTTTGAAGTCACAGAATTATTTGAGAGATAACATAGTAATTATACAGTAAGTTATGTTTAATTTGCTGATGTCCCATGAATATTATGAATTATTAGATAAATTTATAGAATCAAGGCAAGGCAGGACACTTGCTTATCCCTACTTTTTCCTGCAATTTTCCACAGAATTAACATTTTAAAGTTTTCTCTTCCAATTATCACCACAGGTAATGTTTGAGGTATGACTTGATATTTAAAGGCAGTTCAAAGTTATAACAAACCACGCCCAAAAGTTACATATGACTCTATTTCAAAGTTATAGCAACTGCAGTGCTTTCTGGAGTCATTTGCCCTTTTGACTAACTGTAGAGTTGCTATAGCCCTCCCTATCCTCCCCGCAGTTTCCCTGTGATTGTTCACCTTCACAACCCTCACAGGGATGCTGCAGCGCCCCCATTCCCCTGCCTTGCCCTTTGCCACATGCCCATCACCCATGCCTTTTATAGATCTCTGGATCTCATATTGGGGAAGAAAGGCAGGCCATGCATCCTTGGCCATGGGGTGGTGGCTCAGAAATAGCCACCATTTTGTCCTGCTTGTGAAAATTGTGGCCGTGGGACAAATTGATTCGTTTTTGTGCCTTAACGAGGTCTGCACAGCACTACAGAAGCTTCTGAAAGATACAGCAAGCTTCTCCAGCACTCTGCAGACTTGGTTAAAGCAGCAAAAAGGAGCAGTATATCTCTGGGCTGCGTAGCAACAACCCAGATCTGGCCTCCATTTTGTGCAGTGAGGTAAAATGGCAACCAGTTCCAGAATCACACTGTGTAGCTGAAGGACAAAATGATGCATTCCGCTTGGCAAATGTGATCTGCACAGCCTCTGAAGCAATCTTTCCAGTGCCTTAGAAGGCCTTGAAGCTCTTCAGAACATGAGAAGAAGGATGGAATGGGAAAGGACCTGTCCTGTGGGGACCTGGTGGAGTGGGAAAAGATCTCTGGTGAATCAAGGGATGGGAAGCAGAACATGGGAACTAAGAGATACTTTGGGTGGTAGGCCTGGTAGACCTGGGCCTTGATAGGCCTCCAAAGGCCTCTCCTATCTCTGAAGCAATCAATGCTCAATTTAATAGCTGTATTAGAAAGAGCCTTGGAGTCATTAAATGAGGCTGTTTTGTTTAACGGCCATCGCAACCTGAAACCCTAATGGGCAGGGTCATATCTTGAGGACGATCAATATTTTGTGACTAAAAGTATCTGTGCCAGAGTAGAAAATAGCCACCTAAACGAAATTTCACTAGGCATGAGTTACGGGTTATGGGGTTGTGAGTAGATTTAGTATATTGTCCATATAAGAAACAATGGTATATGAGGGTGAACTTATGAATGGGGTAGAGTGGGTTCCGCAGGATTTAAAACCAAAAGAGTTGGAGAAGAAACAACCTTTCTTCCATCTAACACAAGTGTCTCCAACTTTCTCTGTGTTGTTGCTTTTTCTTAAACTGAAAAGCTTCAAATTATATCCAGATACCCCTATAAGATGTTTGCAATAATAATCAGGGAACTGCTGCAGCAGTTTGCTGGGTTGTCATCATAATTAATTCTTTGCCCTGATTGGAACTCACGAGGCATAAGGACAATAGAAGTAAAAACCCTGCAAAGGAAGTATATATACTAAAGGTAGTCCTTGATTTACAGTCATTCATTTAGCGACTGTTTGAGATTACAATAGCCCTGAAAAAAATTGACTTACAACCAGTCCTAACACACAACCATCACAGCATCCTTACTGTCATGTGGTCAAAATTTGGGCACTTGGAAATCAGCATCTATTTCTGACATTTGCAGCATCTCAAGGTTATATGATTATCATTTGCAACCTTCCCAGCTGGCTTCTAAAGCAAAATTAATTGGGGAAGCTGAATTTGCTTAATAACCATGTGTTTCACTTAACCACTGCAGTGATTCACTTAGCAACCATGGCAAAAGGATCATAATATAAAGTGTAATATCAAGACAACAACCTTGTCTGGCAATAGAAATTCTAGTCCGAATTGTGATTATAAGTCCAGGGCTATCTATATGGGGTGGGGGTGAAACAATCCAAGGGAAAGGTTGGCAGTTATGTCAAATTTATATATGAGAGTACAACATAATATAGCATCCACATCTCTCTGGTTTGAAAATTTAAGGAAACTGGATTGTGTATACCATTCTAGTCATAATGATGTTTATTATGGTTACAGTAAGGTATTATGCCACAATGCCTTATACTAAGCTGTTTGTGGCTTTGGAATGCATATGCTGTGCAAGGAAGATCAGTGAACAAAGAAAGGTTTGTTTTTGCAGTGGACAAAATTGCATATTACTTAGGCAAATGTGTATCTCCAAAATCAACCTAATGTGTTATAGTAAAATGAATGTAAGAAGGAAATCATCTGTAAAAACAAAAAAGGATGTTTTTTAAAAAACAATAACTAGACAGGAAACACATAACCACCACATCCTCCCCTTGGAAAAATTCCATGCTTAACTTAAGGTTATGGGCACACAACCCAAAAATAATTTGGAACTCCATATTTGCTTTGTAGTGTGTTTTCTTCTCACATAATTGATTAAAAATCACCTGCAGTGCTTCTAGCAACCTAGACCTCTCTGGGGCAACTTTCATAACACTTCTGAAGAGACAGAAAAAAAAGTACCACAGCCTTTTCTGAGGATAAGCAGGAAATCTATCAGCTTTCTTCTCCATTTTCTCTATGTATAAAAACAGCAATACCTCCAGCAAATCATAGTGATTCCATGACCCATGAGTTATTGTAAATGTGTCCCCCCAATGTGATTATTTTCCCCCCATTCATTTGTGTCTGATTGTCACCTTTAAAGCCCCACATGGCTTGGGAGTAGATTAATTCAGAAGAGACCAACTCTTCTGAGTTACATTTACCTGACTCACTATAGCAGGGAGACGGAATGTTACAAGTCCCCTCTCCTAAGGAGATATATCTAGTGGGACCCAGGAGAAGGTTTTTTTCTATGGTGGCGCCTTCCTTTTGGAAACATCCCTGCAGAGATTAGACTGGTCCTCAATGTGACACTTTCGCAAGGTCCTGAAGAGCTGGTTTTGCCAATGGGCCTGAGATTATTGTTTTTACTCTTTGTATCAATGGTAAAGATAAAAAAGCCCCTGTGGGTTTTACTCTATTAGTCATAGCCGACTTTAGGGGGATGCTTACCTCCATTTCTGTAAGCCAGTTCTGTCCAAAGATATTTCCATGGTCATGTGGCCAGCATTAAATCCTGCTGCAGAACAAAGCATATGGCAAAACACGGAAAACTTGTTACCTTCCTACTACAGTGGTTCCTTCATCTATTTGCATTTACATGCTTTTGAACTGCTAGAATTGGCAGGAGGCAAATGATGGGAGCTCACTCCATCACACAGTGATAGAACTCAAATCCCTGGAGCACAGACCTCCTATAGCAGTGGCCGCCAACCAGTGGTCTGGGGACTACTGGTTGTCCGCAGAGAAATGTCACTCCCAAAGTACCCCTAAAGTAATTAATCCAGTGGGAACACAAGGCTGCGCCCGCGGGAACACAAGGCTTGCGTCACTTGCATTGCGAACAACACGAGGTAGTGAGGGGAGGGGGGAAAGGGGAGGGGGGAACTTGCCCCACGCGCCTTGCCTGGCCACTGGGCTGCTTCTTTCTGCTTCTCTCTTCTGCTTTTGGCTGCATGCAAGGAAAGCAGCAAAAGTCTTTCTTTCTCTCCCCCAAACTCCACCAGAAATGCAAGGCATCCTGCTCCACGAGGCTGCGCCAGCATAACAAATCTCACACAGTCTCATTTCTGGAGGAGTTTGGGGGAGAGAAAGAAAGACTTCTGCTGCCTTTCTTGCATGAAGCCAAAAGTCTTTCTCTCTTTTCCTGCAGATTTTTTGGGGGGATTTTCCCAGGGTCTCTGGTCCACGGGATTTAAAATAATGAGTTTGGTGGTCCCTGAGGTCAAAAAGGTCAGCGACCGCTGGTCTATGGCTAAGACTAGACCAGAAGCCAAATCACTCTTGTGCCAAACCAACTCATTAGCCAATACACCCCACTGCCTCTACTAGTTCTTGGCTGACTGCTATTACTTTTCGGGCCCACCCGCTTCCCAGGTGGTTATGAGTATATGATATAAATCATATCACAATGAACAGTATTGAGAAAGGTAACATAAATATATAGTGGTACATAAATAAATAGGAGCCATCATCCAAGCATAAAAGTGTGCTCATCAAAAAGGGGAAAAGGTGGTAAAGTGCTTTCAAATTAACTAAATTTCAAACAAAATGCTGATGCAAACATTTCTTTTTTATTACCCATTATTTGTTGGAAATAAGATCAATTTTGCTATGCTGACAATTGTTCTTTAAAACATATCGATCAAGTTCTCATTTATTCCTTTGCCTATTAATTTGAATAACTTACACAAAGATGTTGGACAACATTTCAGGGCAAAACGACTCCCCCACCGCCTTGACAAGGGAGTCTTCGAAGAGTTGCTTCTGTGGGTTGCCATCTGCTATTTGGGATTTCCTCCGCTGCGTCCCACGAAAAAGTGCGCTGCTAATACGCGGCCAGAGCAGGGAAAAACGAAGCTCCGCCACGTTACACGGTTCCGAAGTCCGTTCCGGCCGCTTTCACTTGGCAAGACAAGCTGCTCAACCCTAACGCGGTTGCCGGGCTTGAGCTTGGCGTGCACGGACCCAGCCCCTCAGGGCGCCTCATTCAGCAGCCCCGCTTCAAGGGTCGTTGCTTGAGGGGCCTGGCATCGCCGCCCCCTCTCGCTCCTCTAACTTACCTCAACGGGCTGTTCGGCGGATATAACTGCAGGGGCGGAGCAGCGCCCACGGGGAGCCTGTCGGAAGAGCCGGCAAGCGATGGCATTCACTGAAGAGCCATCGCTACCCGCCGTCCAAGATCCAGCTCCTCGGAGGAGCAGGAGCGCGTTGAAGG